GTGATGACATGTTGTGTGTTCTTATCACACGCGCTTATCTGAATTCTCCTGTGAGCACATCTGGTGTCGCTCCATTTCCTGAGTACGTTCCTCGTGACACGTTTACTCCCCCTGAGCTGCAGACAAACAAAGATCTCTGATGTCACACTGGAGAAAGTCACATGATCTTCTGGCTCCTGGAGGCGCTGACGTCCTCTCTGCGCCTCCAAAATGAACCAAAGCCAAACAAACGTCTACATGAAACGAGCCGTTTCCCTGAGTCCTCGTGAGCGTCGATGTGTTGCTGCTACGAAGGCCAGCGGGGAATTCGTCTTAGTCGCAAAATGACACCAGGCTGTCGCACACAGACTCACACACACACACACACACACACACACACACACACCTACATATCAAAAAATTGAAATGTACTCAAACTTATTAAAGTTTTTTATTCAGAATCAAAATTTGGGATTCCAACACTGAACCCAAACACAACACTGAACCCAAACACAACACCGAACCCAAACACACCACCGAACCCAAACACACCACCGAACCCAAACACAACACCGAACCCAAACACAACACCGAACCCAAACACACCACCGAACCCAAACACAACACTGAACCCAAACACAACACCGAACCCAAACACAACACCGAACCCAAACACACCACCGAACCCAAACACGACACTGAACCCAAACACAACACTGAACCCAAACACAACACTGAACCCAAACACAACACCGAACCCAAACACAACACCAAACCAAAAACGACACTGAACCCAAACACAACACTTAACCCAAACACAACACCGAACCCAAACACATCACCGAACCCAAACACGACACTGAACCCCAACACAACACTGAACCCAAACACAATACTGTACCCAAACACAACACCGAACCCAAACACAACACTGAATCTCAATATAACACTGAATTCAAACATTACATTGTACCTAAACATACTATCGTTTGTGGGAGGTTTGTTTATTTTTTATAGAGAAGAATTTTTGGTAATTATTGGGGTTGGTGGATAGTAGAAATGATTATAACTGTCTTTACGGAGACAATAAGCCCCGCCCCCTTTCTGGCGCCTATAAGCTAACGAAGCAAAATGACTTCAACTAGTCGCTTCTAAACTCTAAACTCGTTCTTGGTGTGAACGCAGTAATCAGAAGCCAAGCAGACGGCTTCAGCGGATTCCTCCATGGACTCCGTGCTGATTCCTTCAGTACTTGTTGAAGTTCAGGATGATCTCCTCGTCCGCCATTGGGATGTAACATCCGATACCTGCAGACACACAGACTCAACCGAGGTTTCTAATCTGATCCAGGGTCAGACGGAGACCGCGGAGAGACGCGGACTCTGACTCACCCACATCCGGCCTGAAGACCCGGCCGCCGGCCTTCTTGACCAGCAGCTCCCAGTAGGTTCGCATCGTGGGACACCCGGCCAGGCCGTTCACGCTGGTCAGGAACGGCCCGTAGTTTGAGTCCTCGATGTATTTGAATCTGCGAAGGAGACCTGTCACTCGGAAGCAGGTTTCCCTTCATTTAACATCTGCGGTAGCGGCCATTTGTCCTTGAGATCACAAAGCAGACTTCTGCTACCGACTAACGTTTATCGGCCAACAAAACAAAGAAAGGAACCAAAGATGATTCCTCTCGCCCACTGCGGTGCGTGCTGCTCTTACACCTGGTTTCTCCCATGGATAACCCCCAGGTGCCCACGGTACTCGCCAATAATTAGCAAACAAACTGACCAAAGCTGTGTCAAATAACTAAATCATGATAAAACTAAAGTGGCTGAATCTTGACTAAGGCCAGATGGCGTGGTGTTGCTTTACGTTGAGGCGTGCTGATCTTACGTGAAGCCTGGACCCGAATCCCGCAGTCTCCTCATCGCTCCCAGTAAGATCCCTCTGAAGACCACGTAGGTGGAGTAGGTCATATTGGGAGTGTTTGTCACAGAGTTTATCACATGGATACTGATGGGAGTCTGATTGGAATCTGAAAACAAAGAGGCTACAAGTGAGCACAAAAGGGAATAATCAAGGATTCGTCTCCATAGCTGAGGACATTTTGTATCAGGCGACCTTGAGCGGGAGCTCCAGGAAGCAGCAGCAGCAGCAGGGCTGCCGAGAGGAGAGCGGGGGTCATCATTCTGCACAAGTCACACAAACATCGGCCTCAAAACAACGCTAAGATCGAACGAAAAATGTTTGTTTTCTTTTTACCCAGTTTCCATCCACATCTTGTTACAGGAATTTAACCCTTCAGCTGGAAACAGTTTCCTGAAACCGTAAGTCCGATGATCCCGGCCAACAGCAGGTAACCCATAGGCCACTCCAAGCTCCTTTCCTCACCTCCTTCACCTCCTTCACCTCCTTCACCTCCCCACTCCACCCAGGAACTGACCTGTGAGATCTGACGGCGACTCCTTCTTCCTTCAATCAGCTCCGGATCCTTTTGCACGGACTCCTGCCGGGCCGCTTTTATAGCTCAGTTATTGCGTAATTCAGAAAAGCACCAATTGTAACGGCTGAGTCACCAACGTGGGGCCGGACGATCAGTTTCTGCAAACATCCCAGCGTGATTCAATGCAAAAAAAGAGAATCAAACACGCATTATTACAGGAAAGGTGCAGTTAAATATTTAACATAATAAGGACGTGTTATATACAAGATACATTTTGCGCAGATATCTCAATTTACAAATATTACCAGGTGAATAATCCACGTTTCAAAAACATAAATATTGACTATTTGTCAAATGTATTTTTAATACAATGAATAAAACGTATTTTTTGGTGGGACGACGCCCCGTTGGCCTCTATGGACCAGCCGCCACTGGATGGACGTTATAATGAGAATATGACGAGAGTATGTTTGAGGATATGATGGAGTATATGGAGGGGTGATTATTGCGCAACACGTGTAATGCGTGACGAAAAGTCACAGTTTAAGGGCTTTGTGGAATGTTTCTAGGATTCCGTTTCTCCACAGGTTAGAATATGGGAACTCGGCCCCTAGGAAGAAATCACGAGGGTAACCCAGGTCCGACCTGTTCGACCAGAGTCATACGAAGTGTTACTTAAAACTGAAATCCTGATTTTACCTTAGTCAACATCAGGTAGACGAAGGAGAGTCGAAGCCCTTTCACACAGGTACGTTAGGGTTGCCAACTTCCTCAACCCCAAAAGAGGGACACTTTTTTCCAGGTGTCCATGGCTAATGGACAGTTCTCGGCGGCATTCTGTGCTAAACGCTTTCCTTTCGTCATTGGCGACTGCTTTGACCCATGGCATTTTGGCTTCCCATTCTTTTTTATAGCTGCAAAGTCATTTTTGCTCTGAAGGTCCACTGCTCATTTTGACACACAATACCGCTCGCCTCCCAGTGGCCAGTTCAAACAAACTGTCACCAACAAGCAACAACCGCGTCCCAGAGCAACGTTCGCCTGAGTTTTTGGCGCGTTTAAAGAAGCCAATTATTGTACTTTCTAAAAAGAAATATTGGCTGTGATTGGATTACGGGACTGGAGCTGCCCCTGACGGGACATATCAAAATCACCCATAAATCGGGATGTCCCGGACAATTCGGGGCGGTTGGCAACCCTAAGGTACGTTGTCTTCTGGGTCATGTGATAATCGACATGTTTGTGCATCTATGTTTAGAATCTGTGGTGACCAGCACTTGGGTTTTGCCCTAAGCCCCCACCCCGTTGTTTTAGTATGTTTATCTTCCAACTATTTATTTCAGCACAGGAGACATATCAGTATACTTGACTTTCTATGTGCGTCAACGTGTCTCCTGCCTGCAAGTATCATTTAATAAATGTCCTGTTTAATGATTTTACACCGGTGTCAAGTAAGAACCTTCAGGGAGTGGGAGGCCAGTAGGAGAGCCTGGTACTTCTGGTCATCAGGCTGCTTTATCAGAACCAACATAACAAACTGTGTGTGCTAATAAATGAGGACGCCGTGTACCTGTGCAGAGAACAATGGACGCGGTGGAGGAGTAACATGATAATAATCAGTGATACGCTTTGACTTTCATTTCTGGACGCTTGAGAAAACACCAAAAAGCAACCACATTGTATGTCACTGTAAACTAAATACGACCTGTTCATTTCCAATGTGAATTGCATTCATCTCCTACAATCGAGCCTCAAAACGAAGCCAGCAAAGAATTCCATCACCTCATTAAAGCACCATGCCCCTTCCAAAGTGGATTTCATGGTTTCATGGATTTGCAAGTCCTCGGTGCTCCAGAAGAGTCTGTTAGAGATGACTCAACAACACACTGGTGAAGGTATGACACACAGGATTCACAGCAAAATATAGCAGTGAACTATTATTTGTTAAATTAGATATAGTAGCGTACTGAGGTCTTATGATTGTTAAGGGTTCGGAAATGTTGTTTGTTTGTTTGTTTGTTCTTGTCCCAGCCGGAAATGATGAATGAAATGAGTCAACTTGCTCAAATTTAAAAATCAAAAAGTATTTAATGACTAAACAAAGTAATAAGGAATACAATTACAAAGTGAAATACAATGCGAAGAGTGAAATATTTCGCAAAATAGAGAAACCTCAGACCAAGTCTCAAGTGGCTTATCAAGGCGGCATCAGGAGAATCCAGTTCTTTTCCCGTGCTGGTCGTCCTGGGGTCTTTTGGGTGCATTTGAATGTCATTGGCTTGTCCTTCAAAAGTGCCCCCCCCCCGGTTTGTCCTCTTCACATCGAGGTCTGAAGCATAACCAATAATAATAATAAGTCAATATTCCTCCATTTTATATGAGTCGTAGCCTCTTGTGTTAAAGCTGCATTCTCCGTAGGGACCACCAGGGGGCGACTCCTCTGGTCCCATAGGAATCTATGGAAACTTGAGTTTATGGTCTCGATCTCTACTTTCAAGTCTTCCTGCATACGGCCCCTAAATTGCCACTAGGGGGCAGCGCAGCTCTACAACCGGGAGGTTTCGTGCTTCTTGTTCTCACAGGTGAACAGGAGCAAATCAAATGTCATCCACACAGTATTATCATTGAAACGTTCAAGCGCAGAGAAAGAAAAAAAAATCCAGAAAAGGAAATTATGTTCTTGAAGAAGGAGAAGCCATTTTTATTCCCAAGAAATTGGATAAAGACAGGAGAGATGATTGTAGGAAGGATTAAACAGAGAGAGAAAAAATACCTGTCTGGAGTCTTGTTGACGGGCTGATAAGAGTCACAGGTGTGCAGGGACACCTGGTGGACAGGAGGAGGAAGAGAATGCTCTAAGGAACTAAGGCGGCAGGGTGAGTAGACTTCATCTACGACACTTATCTGAACACTGTTAGCTCTGCTAGCAACGTTAGCGCTGATGTTTAATATGCCGTCTTTATGCTTCTTGACCCTGAATGGAACATAATGTATAAATGAACATCACGCTGTGGTGAAGAAGACTTGAAACTAGAGACTGAGACCATAAACTCATGTTTACAGTGTTTACTGAGGGAATAAATCAAGAGAGAAGAAGAGTAATTTTCTCATAGACGTCTATGGGAGCAGAGGAGTCGCCCCCTGCTGGTCACTACAGAGAAGTAGAGTCATTTCCTCATAGACGTCTATGGGAGCAGAAGAGTCGCCCCCTGCTGGTCACTACAGAGAAGTAGAGTAATTTCCTCATAGACGTCTATGGGAGCAGAGGAGTCGCCCCCTGCTGGTCACTACAGAGAAGTAGAGTCATTTCCTCATAGACGTCTATGGGAGCAGAGGAGTCGCCCCCTGCTGGTCACTACAGAGAAGTAGAGTCATTTCCTCATAGACGTCTATGGGAGCAGAGGAGTCGCCCCCTGCTGGTCACTACAGAGAAGTAGAGTAATTTCCTCATAGACGTCTATGGGAGCAGAGGAGTCGCCCCCTGCTGGTCACTACAGAGAAGTAGAGTAATTTCCTCATAGACGTCTATGGGAGCAGAGGAGTCGCCCCCTGCTGGTCACTACAGAGAAGTAGAGTCATTTCCTCATAGACGTCTATGGGAGCAGAGGAGTCGCCCCCTGCTGGTCACTACAGAGAATGCACACTTGAAGCTTTTGCTTCACTTTTCAGAAGTGTTCATTAGCACCGTGTTCCTGACACCATGTGATCCACACGGTACTTCCTGTGTCTTTTTCCTACAGTACTGACCCCTGAGCTTAAATTAGACTTTCAGATGAATGAATAATACGCTAAACTGTCATCAGCAGGAGAGCCAGGGTTATTCTCTAACTGGTATTAAAAAATAGTTTACAGTCGTTAATGAATGCTTAAAATGAAGCAATGTTCTTTTAGATTCATCATTTAGTTTATGATGCACTAGTGTGCGGCTCCATCCTGAACCCATTCAATAACACTAAATATGTGCACTATTTATGAACTGTTACACTCAATAACACAACACACAATATACATAAAAAAATCAACAAAACTTACTTTGTTCTTTGTGTTTGTCTTTGACGTTTCTTCTGTGCTTTGTATTGTTTTATAGATGAGGTAATTCTTTATTAGTGTGTGAGTTAGGACATTTGAAGTGTTATATTGTTCATATTTTGATACAAATAAGTCCTTTTTTCTGGGTTCATTCTTCAGTAATCAACGATAACTGCTAAATATTTTTGTATAATATTACTCAACTGTAACTCTTTTAATTTTATCGTATTTTATTCTACAAAATAAACCTGCTTTTTGGGAAGTGATTCACAGGCTTCCTGTACTGAAGGTCCCCCAAACGGGGGCGCTAGAGCGCAACGTGCAGGTCCAGGGACGTCAGGAGCTCCGGGGCTGGATTCAAATCCTCAAAAAACGTCTATTCCTAACCACTATTCCTAACCACTATTCCTAACCACTATTCCTCGACCTCCGTGGAAGACGTCACGGGGTCAAGGAAAGATGGTTAGGAGAGTTCATGAGGAGTTAGGAAAGGACAAGGCGGTGTTTAGTCAATCGACTCCACTGACAGAGACGCTTGTCAGTGACGTGTTTCAACTCTCTATTTCTCCTGAACGGACCAATGACGCGTCACTATTGCTCCCTGTGCTAAAAGGAGCTAAGTAAGGAAGCATTGAAGCTCCTTTCCTTAGCGTTAGATCATTCAAACAGCTCTTCTCATGGCTCCACTCACACGAACCTGCATGAGAACATTGACAACCTGCAGCCCAGGTCTCACCTGCCGGCTGCTCTCTGAGGGCCGGTGAGGAAAGGTGCTTATTGACCGAGCCTCTTCTGCTCGCCGCTCACTCATCCGTGTTTGGCCGGGCGCATGTTTGATGGACGCCGGGTGTCGGAAGGAGGTTAAGGTTGATGCGTCTGACCCAAGACTGAGGACTGGGGGGGACGGGGACGGGGGAGGGGGCTTTGTTGGGGATCGGC